CAGTAAAACTGTTGTAACTCTGTACAAAAGGTTTATGAGATCAAATCATTTAAAGATTATTCTAATCTTAACGTCTTTTGTTGTATGTTCTATATAGAATCTCAAAAGTGATGAATCATTACAAGCAATGCCTTCAATGAGATTTCATCAGATCAAAACTTAGTAACATATATGATACTTTATTAATCTATTTATAATAGAATTATTATTTTGTGAAGAGAATTTTACTGAAAAAAAAGGAAAGAAAAGAATATTTTACTTACTTGTTGTCCTAAATTATTCACTGCTGTCATATTAATTCGTAATTTTGTAACATTTTCCAAGGATTTATTTAATAAAAATGGATTATATGGTATTGAAAAAACTATTCTTGAACGATCATAATAATGAGTATCATGTGCATATGGTAATGAATAAATTAATAAAATTTTATCATATTGTTCAAATACAATATTCCAATTATTATTTTTCCAAAATTTTGTTTGAAATGTTATTAAATAATGATGAAAATTCCAAGTTTCATCATCAATATGAATAGTAAATATAAATTCAAATTGATTACAATTATATATAATTTTTTCCCAACGTTTACCATCTAATAATGAATAATCACTTTCATACATTGATTCAATATGAAAATCATATATATTTAAATATTTTAAATATTTTAATTGAGTAAATTGTGGTAATAACCATTCAATTTTTTTCATTTCATTTCTTGCATATATTAATGATAGTGAAATTATATTTGAAGCATTCAATATTGGATGTAGTTGATGTCGTTCTATTTTATCATTTTCATTTTCATTTTCATCATCATCATCATCAATCCATTCATCATCAAGATCAATATCATAAGCTTGAAATTTTTTTAAATTTGGTGAATATAGAAGAATATTTCGAAATAATGTTATATTACAAAGACCAATTAATTTAATTTCTTTTAAAAAACATTCATCTGGCCAAATAATTGATGAATTTAAAAAACGATTTTTATCAATATCTAAATAAATTTTATGTAAAAATTTTTTTCCAATACTTGTCATTAGAATATCAATAACAGTATCATTATAATATTCATTTGAATTTTTAATTGAAAGTATTTTAAGTTGATCTGTAATTGAAAGAAAAATTTTTATCATTTGTTCATTATCATCAATATTTACAAGTGTTAATGAATGAAGACGTTTAAATGATTCAATATGAAAATTTTTTAGAAAAAATTTAACTAAACCAACATTATCATTTCCATCAGATAATGTTAAAGATCTAATTTGTTCAGGATGTATTAATGAACAAATATGATGAAAATAAGACATTGAAATAGAGTTTAAATTTAGATCATATCGATCATATGTATGAATAATTGAATTAAGACGATTACAAACATTATAAAGAGATGTAAAAATTGTATAAGTATTCAATTGATCTAATATATAATAGATTAATTCAGCAGGTAAATTATCTAATGTTGGTAATAATGAAGAATCTATTGTTGTAAATTTTATGTGTCTATGTATTTTATGATTATTTGAACTAGTAATTTGATTTGATAATATAATTCTTGGTTCATTATTTGAAATTGAAATAGAATTTTGTTCAATAATAGTTGAATTACTTTTATAATTTTCATGTTTTGTTAAGAAAATTTTACATTGCTTACAACCCATCGTTGTTTGCAAGGACACATGTGTAAATTTTTTTTTTTTCTTTTCAATAAGATTAATCAGCGGTAAAAAGAAATTTATACCCATTTGATTTGTTTTTTTCTTCTTTCTTTCTGTCATTCTTTCTTTTTTTTTTTTGTTGTTAGTAGCCTTTAAACGAAAGAAAAAGAACTTTTTAGACATCATTATTGTTGTAATTATCACACAGTCTTTATCAAAAGAAAAGAAAAGCTTTTTATGAAGTTTGTTTGTCAAATAAAACATGTTAAGCGAAAATATGAAATCCTTATAAGAAGAGTGTGCAACATTAACTAAAGTCCAACCTTTTTTCTGCAATTAAATAAAATAAATAGAATAAAAATTTTTCTATTGCATTTATTTCAATCGATGGAAAAGATTTTTAAGTGAGTTATAATTTAATTTTTCATATAAGAGTTACTGGCATAACCAAGGAAGAGTTGAGTCCCCCCTTCCACCGTTCGAAGCTACGCAAACTGAACTTTGCCATAAGCTTCTCCGACAAACATATTTCAATCATCTGAGCTCCTGTCACTGGAGAGTCCTATCATGTTAAAGATCCCTTCTCATTGTCAAAACTCTGGTCATGCCATTAATAGGAGTAATGGCTGTTTTTTTGGTAACAAACTTTGAACAGATGTCGTTAGTATTCTTTTTTAAAAATTATATAGTTTTTCTATTTAAAAAAGTAATTTAATATGAATTAAAGTCTAACAGTTAAATCGAAATCGTGCGAAACGATAGAATGAATACAAGAGACATTGAAAATTATCTAACTTGATGTTAAAAGATAAATAGTATTCCACAAATTTGAATTGGATATAAAAATCTTTCATATACAATGACGTATCATTTGTTACAACTGCAAACTGATATCTATAATATTTTATGTTTCATATATTTAAATTTTAAATATTTCTATCATGCTTCGCATTAAGTAGACCGATCAGCTGCAGTGGGTTGAGCCCACACCCAAAACTTTCTATGTGCCTCCTCCTAGGAAACTTTTTAATGATTTTGCAAAGAAACGATTATTTTTCATCAAGTGATGTCGCTGCATAAACTTTGCTAAGCTATAAAGGTTTTTCTAGTTTTCTACCGCTAGTTTACTGGAAGCCACATCAAAAAGTACAAGCAAAATACTCTCTTTTGAAATTCGACATCTACATCGACCACAAAAGCCAATCTTGACTCCGCTTCTGTCGAAGTTCGAGTGATTGGCAGAAAGTTTTTCGAAGGCAATGTTGGAGTGACTCCACTAAAAAACATTATAGCTAGTATTTGAAAGTATTCAAAATCATTTTGGTTGTGGAAAAAACCTTTTAATTACAAATTATGAAAATAAATGAGACACAGTAGAAGATCCATTGGAAAAATTTGTATGTTTGAATATACAGTCAGTTCAATAAGTGTTTTGATACTTTCGTGTATTTTTGTATTTCTTGCTTTCTGAAGCACAAACAAGAGATAAAATTTTACCTTTTCGTCAGGAGATATTCGTTGCTTCGTACCATCTTCTTTATAACAATCAGCAATTTTGGCTATCATTTCGAATTATGAGACGTTTTTTCGTGAAAACATCCAATTTTTCAATATGTTCAAAACAAGATTCTTCTGTTTTTTTTTATACTAAAAGTGCTCACATTTCTGACATCAGAATTATATTATGTGCATATCACTAGAACGAGCACAACAAGCTCTATCCATTGGTGTGATGACTTGTTGACGAGCATCTCAGTGTTTTTTTGTTTCGATGATCTACTATTGATTCTATAGCTATTCGAAAGAACTTTCTCTGTCGAATAAGTGCATTCCTCGATATTTGCAGTTTGGTATTACAGTAGAAGATAAATATTTCTTTTGTCAGTGTTTAGGAAGGATGAACATATAAGTTTTATTCCTGTTCAAATTCGTTCTGTATCCCCCTCGTAATGTTTCCTATAATAAAGTGTCCGAAATCTACGGCTAGGTACTACATGATAATACATAATGAATAACTCGATGAGTTTCATCCAATACTATCAAGCCAGTCAATAGTACAATAGTTCTGTAAACTTTTTCATCGAGATCATATTTTCTTTAGTTTGCATGTCACTCAGATTTTGTTTTTTGTATTTATGTGAAGCTGTGGACAACGTTTTTGAACCGTTTTATATATCAATCAATAGGTTTTATTGAGTTTCATACGACATAACAAAGCATTCATCTATAACGCATTCGATAAAAAGCTCTTAAACAGATGCGTATGGTTCGACCACAAAACTAATCAAACTTTACTATTAACAATGGATTATTCTTTTAGTTTATTCAATCGAGTATTATTCCATGTAGAGTTAACTCAAGTTGAAAACACATAGTACTGCACTGTTATGGTAGCAAGAAAAACTAGACCAAAAGAAAGTTAAAAAAAAAACAAATACTTGATTTTTTCGAGGTGTCACACTTGAAACTTCTGATAGGCTGATTGTATATGGAGTAGTTGACGAAAGTAGAAAAGACATGTATGGTCAAATTTTAAACATAGAAGCAACAATAATGAATTCAATATACATATTAATATTATTGCAAAAAAAAACCAAATATGTAATATTCAATATAGGTGACAAGTTCTTTCTTCTCTGTCACATTTCTCTCTATATTCATCAATATTGTTATATTCTCTTCTGTAGTCACGCTTGACAAATTTATGCTTTCATTTTCCTTTCCTTTGCTTCTTGTATATATAACAGTTTATTTGTTGCATATGGTGCCGAGTTAAAGAACAGGTAAAACTTTTGATGTTAATATGACAAGTTTAGTGAAAAAAATTAATTTACACAGAAAAAAAAAATAATTCAGAATTAGAAGTGAAAAATGTTCAAAGAAAATATTTAAACATTAATAACAGCTGTTCGTTGTGTAAAAATAAATGATATTCGATCAAAAATATTATCTAATTCTGATAAACTTGCTAAATCTACAAATTTACATCTTTTTCCTCCAGATTGTTTTAATTGATTCATAGCTTGTCTTCCTTTTGTTTCTAATCCAATTCCAACTAATAAAATATCTGTTTCAAAATCATCACAAATTTGCTTTACTCTTTGACATGCTTGTTGTAAATTACATTTTATCGAACTACAATCTTCTCCATCTGTTATTAAAATAATTTGATTTCGATTTGAATCATCTAATAAAAGTCCTGCGAGTTTGTTTCTTAATAAAACTTGAAATGTGGAATCAATAGCATCATATAATGCAGTTCCACCATTAGTATCATTAAAGTTTGGTTTCAAAAAAGATAAAACGGAGGCTAATTTTAATTTAGCCATATCAGCAGATTTAGCATTCATAACTTCATAAACTTTGGCATTAAATGCAAGACAAGTAAAACTATCATTTAAACCTAATTGACTAGCAATTTTAATGATTCCACGTTCTGTTGCTGGCCAACGATTTTTAGAAGGATACACTCGACCATATCCGTCACAACCAATCATTGATAATGATATATCAACCACTAAAACAATATTATAACTATGAATTGCAAGTGAAACATCAATCTGTTGAGGTGTTGAATGTGGCGTTGCAGCTGTCGATCGATTTGATGATTGTTGAGATTGTTTAATCGGAGTTAATGAATGAGTATCTTTATGTCCTTTTTGATTTGGATTTGAATTAAGACATTTTGAACATAAATTATAATCATCACATACTGCACATTTATATCGAATACCAACTATTGGATAACATTTACATACATCACATATAACATCATGATTTGGCATTTGAT